ATTTACAATTAGCGATTTTCAAATAGTAAATGGATGTCAAACGAGCCATGTTTTATTTAATCATAAAAACTATTTGATAGAAAGTAAAGCCTCAATTCCGATTAAATTAATAGTAACCGATGACTATGAAGTCGCCAATCAAATTACGAAAGCTACTAATCGACAGACTGAAGTTAAGGTAGAGGCATTTGCTTCATTAGAACCTTATCATAGGAAATTAGAGGAACACTATAATTCCTATCCTAAAACAACGCGCATTTATTACGCGAGACGAAGCAATCAGTATGATAATTCTATTCCTTCAATTCCGAAAGATCGGATAATTACGCTCGCAGCCCAAATCAATGCCTTTGTTTCTGTATTCTTGAATGAACCTCACAGCACACACAGGTATTATGGTGAACTTTTGAAAGCTTATGAAGATAAGTTGTTTCAAGCCGATCATAATCCAGACATGTATTACGTAAGCAGTTTTGGATTACAAGTGGTAGAGAAAATATTTAAAAGCAAACCATCAAAAATTGATGTATTCTATCGTGAAAATAAATTCAAGCCTCATTTACTGGTAGTTTTGAGAATTATAATTTGTGGTTTTAATTATCCTTCCTTTACAAGTAAAGATATGACTAGGTATTGTGAAAAGTTACATGCTATTTTTTTAAATGAAGTCAAAATCCTTAAAGCATTAGAAGTAGCGACTAAAATAGTAACTACCGCTATTGCGACGTATACGCAAAAAAATGAATCAATAAATGTTCGCGAATTACATAGGATACGTAATTTTACATTTGAATTGATTGAAGAAGCAAAAAAATACCAACCCGATAAAAGCAGTAAAGTTGCCAATGTTTAACATTAATTGATCAACAAATCTGCTCGAAACTATACTTGGATTGCGGCAAAAAATGAGTTCGATGTAGCCTGCGTTGAACTGGATTCTTGCCTTTAGCTATTCTGATGTCACTAGCAAAGAAGACTGTCAGGCGTAGGCTGAAGTATAGCCTTTTCGTGTTGCCGCCTAGTAGCAATACTAGTTGTTCGAGGTGTTCCGCAGGGGCACCTCGAATAAACAAATAAAAGCCGTTTGCAACGGAATTTATGGCCTAAATGTTGAGCTGTGAATTCTGAAATTTCAATAGAGTTCCGCTGTCTTACCAGTTCTTCGCAGGCTGAAGCCCGGCAAAGTGCACAGCCGCCTACGTAGC